TATATTGGTTCCCACAAGGGAATCCGCCCTCTGGGGAACCGCTGTGTTTTGTATGTCCGTTGTTCTGATAGCAGTAACTTCAGTGATCATCTACCGTGGACCGCCTTTTGCCTGGCGTCAAGGAATTCGGAGCAAAGCCTGCGGCTCAGTTGGACGTGAACATTCACTCAGAATACTGACGTCTGGCTCCTCCTTTTGGTACTTCTTTAGTTTTTAAGCTGCACGTTATTGTAGCCTGTCTCAAACTTTTGCAAAAGTCATAGAGTATAATTTTTCAAGCAGACGTTTATCAAGTCCTGTTCTTCTCTGAACGATTATATACGAGTTTAAGCCGTCTATTGCTCGACAAAAGTCATGAGGATATTTCCATCCATGTCTACTCAATGCCTCACAATTTGTCCAGATGCTTTGTTTTAGTTTTTGGAAGCCACTGGATCCCAGGGGTTCAGAGGCAGTGTGGAAGCTAGTGATCCTGGCTATAAATCCCCCATCAATGCTGACAAAGGAAATCATCATCATTCCCCCTGAATTATTCCCATAAAAGAAATTATACTCAGGGTCCGTCAAGATAACTTCCGTTGCACTGATTTGAAAAATGGGCACTTCTGGAAAAGATGAACTGGGAGTTAAGTCAGTAAATTAAAGCTATTGTTCTGGGAATCATTCAAATCCAGGCAGTCCAAATCTGAGGACTCTATTTGGGATGCAAATCGAAGGGAAAAAAAAAATATCCCCCGTTTAACAAAGCAACGCAAGTTGGCATATCACACACTGTGGTTACTGCTTTAAATCTTTTCTCCTAGAGAGAGAAAGAGAGAGAGAGAGAGAGAGAGAGAGAGCGGCAAATCGTGAAAGGATTAAGCAGACCTGACATGATTCATTTTTCTTCGACTGCAGGTAATTACCCCATATAATTCTCGTCCGCATAAATTAAAACTGCATGAATTAACAATAATGCTGTTTTCCTACATTCAGTAACTAAGACAAAAGTGATCGGGGACGCTTTACCCGTGGGTATGGATTAGACAATAGTCTTTATGAAAGGAGACGAATGATTCCTTTTTTCTCTGCTTTTTCTCTTTCCCTCCCCCTCAGAGCGGTTCAGATCTCTGAGGCATCGCGAGGGTCGGTCTCGCGCCCTGAGAAAGGAGGCTCGTCACTGACAACGGTGTAATCTACCAAGACATACTGATCACTCAGAATGGTGTCTGTTTCATTTCTCCAGCAGAGCATCTATGCAGACGCACCGCTTACCTCGCTGGAATCGTGAACGCCACGGCTGCCTAATGTGAAACAGCTTCTCGGCGATTACAGCCGAATGGCGAGGAGTCTCATTAGTGCCTGGATGTCAGCTGAGAATCTTGGCCTGCAAACTGCCTGGACAGACTCTGAGTTACTGAGTTGCTGCTCTAAGCGATCGGGTAACCGGAGTGCAGTTCAGCCGGCTTCCCGAGGGTGCTGCTAACCGGCGGTTAATTTCTGTGGGAACTCTGAACTTGGGGGTCTTTGTGTATTTACATCCACAGCCACAGCCCAGACTCGGAAGCCAGACGGCCCAGGTTGAAAACAGTGCTCTGCTCATACGAGTCTTGCTGGGCCTTATTTCTCTCATCTATACACCGGAGGTGATAAGGGGAATGACCTCAGTTTATTATGAGGACTCAGGGAATTAATCCATGTGCTGGGCACACTGAAAATGCTACTAGGTGGTAGCTATTCTTATTAAGATGACTATTATATAAAATGTTTTTCTTTAGATTGTTTCACAACCTAAGGGGGGCTTTCTGTCAACATGCAGTATCACATACATGTACACGCATCTGTAAGTCAAGATTTGCATTTATTTAAAAAAATCGTGGGGCACCTGGGTGGCTCAATTGGTTGAGCGGCCAACTTCAGCTTAGGTCATGATCTCATGGTTCTCATGTTTGAGCCCCGCGTCGGGCTCTCTGCTGTCTTCTGATCCTCTGTCCTCCTCTCTCTCTGCCTCTCCCCTGCTTGTGTGTGTTCTCTCTCTCTCTCTCAAAAATAACAAACATTAAAAAAAAATTGCCATGACTTCAGACACTCCGGTGCCCAGGAAGGCCTGGCCTCTGTACCATTCAGGATCACGTGATTTACCTACAGGGAGATGATGGAGGGAAGGTCCTTTTTGCCACGTGTAGAATCTATGTGCACAAGGTCTACCTGGGTCCATTTCCCCTCCCCCCCCC